GAGGACAAAAACGTTCAGCCTCGACTCTTTATCGTCATTTGTGTTAAAATTTGCAAAGCGCACCAAATTGAACAAAACTATATAAAATGCAAACTTTGAATTCATGAATATATATAACTGTATCCACGGTATAGCAAAATCCATATCATGGAACAACATAATACCGGTAGTCACTTTCATACCGGTAGCGCCCACCCGTATAATGAATTGGTCGGAAATGCTTTCGAATCCATCTCAAACTCGTGAGTTTATAGCTTAACTTTCAGATCTTAACAGTATGAAACAAATAACACTTACAAGCTAATGAATTGGTAAAAAAAAAATAATAACAAATGAACAAATGATTCTTTATGATCTAATGAACTGGCTAAAAATATGAATCAGTCCCAAAAGTCCCAAATAATTCTTGAACTTATCAGTTTGAATCAAACTCTGAGATAATGAATTGGTCAAAAATACTCACAATCCATCTCAAATGCATGAGTTACTGGCTTAAACCTTTCAACCCTCATTAACTCATCTTAATAACATCAAACAAATAACTCTTAGGAGCTAATGAATTGGTCAAAACTCACACGTTACTAATGAGAATCAGTTTAACAATGTGCTTACTGACCAGAACAGTTTGATTAGCATACAAATTACACTAATGGGTCAATAAATTGGTCAAAATACTCACAATTCAGTTTAAAACTTAACCGCCTGAATCAATCTCACAACTCTGATTCACGAACAAATGACTTATGATCTAATGAATTGCTTAGACATAAGAATCCCTTCCCAAACTCACAAATAATTCTTGAACTCATGAGTTAGCAATTTGAATCAGTCTAACAACTCTTATGAGCCAATGAATTGGTCAGAAATATCCACAAATTAGTCTCACTCTCTATAAAACCCTCATATACACTCACCATAACCACAAAAGGTCGCACACACTTATGCGTCCTAAAGGCCAGGGCCTCAGCTGCCGCTGATGTGCATGCTCACACAATCTCAGATACTGCCCATTTATTCAACAATCAACCATCCAGTTAATGTTATCCTTCTGTACCCTCTCCTTCTCTCCATGGCAACAACTCTCACATCTACGTGCTAATAACATCCTCCTATCTCCATAACAACTCTGACATATTGTGCCTTTCCCCTCCTCCTGCTAAGAATACACTCATTCGACCCATCAATAATGCTAAGATATTCGGTGTCCATGGTAACAACGTCCTCCTCCCCATTTTCATCATGCCCTCATACACCAGTAAGTTGCACAGGCCTGTCCTAAGTAAAGGTGACCCACTTGCTATAATCAATACACACTCCAACAGCGAGTGTCCTTAGAAATGATGCTTGTGCTTTTATAAGATGTGTGTGGAGTGTTTACTACCCACCAACCCTAAGGCAAACGCTGTGCCTCTGACATAAAGGCACTTTAAGCACAAGTCAGAGTCAGGGCATGTGGTGCAACCACTATGAGGGAGAGAACAAAGAATCATCTGAATGCTGTTCGGCAAAGTACTTGTCCATGCTCTCAGTGTTCTATGAAGTAGAAATTACACAGTCAGTCTTAAAGGGATAGTTCAAACTTGAGGTGCCAAACCGGGAGTATTTTTTCTTCTGTGCAGCACAAAAAGAGATGTTTCACTGAATGTTCACGCGGTTCATGCTGGGGCTGTTGAGCTCCAAAAATGAAATGGAAGAATTCTTCAATATTCAGATTCAATATTCATGGGTTTTTTTTCTGTTAGTTCACCCAAATGGGAAATGATGTCAGCATTAACACACCATCATGTCATTCCAAACCTGTATGACTTACATCCTTCGGTGGAAAAAAAAAAAAGATTTTGAAGAACACTGGTATCCAAACAACACCGAAGCCCTTTGACATTCATTGTGTGGACAAAAAAAAAAAAATAACATCTAGGCAATTACCTTTATTCAGTTTGCACAGTAGAAGAAAGTCATACAGCTTTGAATTAACTGAGGATGAGTAAATGAAGACAATTTTTCGTAAAATGTTAAAATCTTAAAAATAAAGGGTCTTTATTGGCATCTGGCTCCATGAAACCTTTCCACTGCACAAAATATTTTTTTTATATATAGGCCTAGAGGAAAAGGGGTCTTTAGATTTTTAGATGTTCTTCACACTAAGAAAAAAAAAAGTTATTTTAAGAACTGTTCAATTAAATGTTCTTTGAAGAACCCCAAATGGTTCTTCTATGGCATTGGCATCACTATGAAAACCCCTTTTGGAACCTTTATTTTTAAGAATGTGCAAAAGGGTCCAACTAATGGTAATGTATTAACCAACATTAACTATGGGTGATGGATTTGTTCATTATTATTCATTAATTCAATTTGTTACTTAATGTTTACAAATTAATGCTATTCATTCATTGTATGTTCACATTAGCACCGGTCTAATTAAATCATTAACTTTTGATTTTAATATTATTAGTAAATATTGCAGTTAAGGTTAATAGTTTGGAAGTATTTTTCCATTGTTGTATGGTAACTAATGTATTTAACTAATTTCAACAAATGGAACCTTGTTGTAATTAGAAGACTAATTTGCCATGGGTGCCCTCAAGATTTTCCTATTAGTCTTTTATAATGGGGTTTTTCAATTTATGAAACAAGGTCTGTGGTAAATATGAACTGACTATTGGACTTTTTGCAGAACAATGTAAATTACACACACATACTGAAAAGAATTTGAGTTGAAAACCTCATTATAAAAACCCACAGGAAAACCTGGAGGGAACCCATGGCGAATTAGTCTCCTGGGTTTGGACGTCATGGCTGCAGCACTAAGCCCCAGTCCCCATCCACTTTCGTTGTATGGAAAGGAGCAACGTGAACATTCTGCATATATAAAGATAAAACGCTAAACAACCCAAGTGATAAACTTTCCTGTTTCACGAAAGCAATAAAATCATATGACTGTAAATAATGATGCGTCTACGCTACATATGAAGACCATTTTGGCATGAACTGTCCCTTTAAATGCAAGCCTCGAAGATACAGGTGCGCTGTGAGCCAGACAGACAACTCTCCTGGCAACAGTACGGTTTGGCAACATTCACTTTTAACGCCAACAAAAACAAAGTTCTCTCAGTTTACCTGGTTTGACGGTCTTAATTCGAATCGGCTCCCGAAAGTGGCGGATCACCGCGTGTGTGTCTCGGTTCGTCAGCCCGCTGACAGGTGTCCCGTTCACTTCCAATAACACATCCCCGTAGTACGGTAGCCTCCCGACGTGACACACCAGCACGTCTAAGTTCATCTGACCTAGGAACGGGAACTCCCCGTGCTCGGCGCCTCCGAGGATCTCCACAACATCACCGAACTCCCCAACGCTTCCCCACGACACGGCGCACTCCTGCACTTTAGTGGACCAGTGTTTCTTCCTCTTCAGCGTTTTAGACATCGTTTAGCTTTTAAGTTTCAGTGCAGTTTGACGTGAGCAGGTTTTGAAGCCTTGCTTCCCGGTGTGCCGTTCACTTCACCCGGTTTGGGGACGACAGCGCGCGGATGTGGAACGCCATCCAGCCCGTGATGATGTCGCCATAAGCCTCATCTACCATTATTCGTTCAAGACAACAGTTAGATTACCTTAGTTTTCGCTCGTAAAAACGCCAGTTCCAAATGCGCCAGGAGCTACATAATGCAAAAGTAAACAACATTCGATACAAGAACGAGGTAAAACTGTGTTTACCTGGTAAGTTCACTCAGGGTTTGCATGCAAAGCATCAAGCGCACTAGACTGACACACTGAGAAACGCGTCTGTCAGTACAGCGTAATAAAAATGTGTGTCTATAAACGGAATTAGCAGCAAAACAGTGTCCCACAGGTATAAAGAGCTACGGCAGCGGCTGTCTCGGGTATATTCTGTTGTTGTCCAAACGGCCGAAGCTCAGGTTCGTCTTCGAAACGTGATGCCCAGTCAGTGAGTAGATGCGTCTGACGCTTCGTCATTCCTGGCTTGTGGCTGAACCGTCAGCTTTACACACAATATGAGCCCTTGACAGATAGCGTACGAGAGAAATAAACCGGTCTAACACGTGTGTATCGCCTCAGATGGACGCTGCGATGCTGTCATACGCGGCGGCTGCTCTCTCAGATCTCCAGTCACGGAGGGAGGCTACTGTTGCGCTCAGCTTGTGTTTGTCAAATGAAGCGATTGTGTATGTAACGCGCGCGCTCACAACGAAAAGCGGCCTGTGACTGGATGGTTCTCAGGTGGAAGTTTATATAAACTGAGCTTAACTGATTTAGGAAATGAAGATACAAATGAACCAATTATAAAACCGACAGTTTTGACTCTAAATTCTGATTGGATGAGTGGCGTTCTACTTCGCTGTAAAATGAGCCAATAAACGCACACCTGTAAACGTTGTCGAGTTTCCACCCTGCTTGGCAGCCCTAAGCAACAGTTTGGCTAATGGACTATGTAACTTGTAATTATTACTAATAAAAAAATTCAACTATTTATTGAATTACATTGGCTTTTCTCATATTTCCATTGGATCAGTTTGATAAAAAACAATAAGCCAGGAGAGGCTGTGTGTTATACAGTGATTTGACCCAAAATGATGGGGTTTTCTGCTTTATGTTGTGGCTTAAAATGCCTCTTACCTGTGGAAAAATCACTGTAATTCAATACTAAACCTCAGCTTTGAATGTACCAAAATGTTAAACGCAATTAATAACTTAATGTAAATACACGTTTCTTCAGTAATGTGCAAGAATTGCTTTTATGTAATAGGTATTTAAACAAGTAATCAAGTAACTTACATTTCAGACAAAAATTAGCTAGCATTTCCTTTTCACCAATGCAAATAATTCAAAGTCAAAGCATCAATCTTTGCATGTCACCAAGCAACACACAATCTTGGATGCCTATGTATTTCCTGCTCACAAGTGAGGGAAAAAACACATGCTTTGACTTTCAAAAACATGCTGACAACAAACCTATACAAGTCTGATTCCATTCATGAAAGAAAACACTTAGAATAAATAAATAAATACATATTCTTTTTTTTCTCTTTTTTTAAATTTTTAAAGCAGTACATAAGACAAAACATACTTACTTTAAAAAAAAGCATAGTGCTTGCAACGCCAAGGTCATGGGTTCGATTCCCAGGGAAATTGATAACATGTATACCTTAAATGAGAAAAAAGCCATTTTGGATAAAATCGTCTACCAAATGTAAAATGTAAAGCATTAAAAACATTTCAGAATAAGCTCCCATTACCAAATACGATAAAATAATAAATGTAACGTCAGTGTTTGCCCTTTTATTCTTTCCGTCTTATTAATCTGATAATGTAATTTAATCAGTAGCTTAAGTCTAGGTGAGGATATCACAAGTAATCAGTGAATATTTCATCTTGTAATCAAATTATACGGCCAATTATCTTAATAGCTCAGTACTGTAGTGTAGCGTAAGACTCAAAGCTGCCACCTTTTGGTGAGTAGTTGTAACTGCAGCATAACTTGAGTCTCATCATTCAATCCTGCCATTGCTTAAGACAAACATGACACACTATTCATGCGCTCAGCTCCCTTATTAATTACAGACAAGTCAAGGCGAATCAAAACAGTGCCTTCTTCAGTTTGTAAAGGATTCAATTTAATTCCTAATCACTGCTGTGCACTTCAAAAGGCAGAACACATGTATTTCCCCTGAGTATAAAGATCAGACACAGGAAAAGCAGCAGGAAGTGTGTAGACATGGTTAATTATACTGAAGAACAAGACCAGACATGAAACTAATTTCAGTGTGTTAGTTACCACTAAGTTATTTACAGACCAGACCACATATCTCTAGCAATGCTCAAATAACATATAGCTCTTGCAGAACCTTCAAGATGTTTCTCTTTTTTCTATTTGGTGGAAAAGATACTGTGTATTCCACAAGACAACATAATGCCTGCTCTAAAGTTTACACATATTTGGGTCTTAAAAGGACAGTTCACCCAAAAATGTAAATTCTTTCATGTACTCATCATCATGTTGTTTTAAATCCATGTGACTTTCTTCTGTGAAATACAAAAAGAGAAATTATGAACACTGTGCCAGATGCACTTCTCCATGCAATTATGATAAATGGAGACTGGTACTTTCAAACTTCAAAAAAAGGTTGAAAAACAAAATAAAAGCATATCATCAACGCATAAAATATCTTTTGTGTTCAACAGAAAAAAAAACTTACTCATACAGGTTTTGAACAACTTGATGGTGAGATGTAATTTTTATTTTTGGGTGGACTATCCATTTTAAATATATGTGACCCTGGACCACAAAACCAGTCTTAAAGGGATAGTTCACCCAAAAATAAAAATTTGATGTTTATCTGCTTACCCCCAGGGCATCCAAGATGTAGGTTACTTTGTTTCTTCAGTAGAACACAAATGATGATTTTTAACTCCAACCGTTGCAGTCTATCAGTCGTATAATGCATGGCAATGGTAACAAAATCTGAGAGTAAAAAAAACATGCACAGACAAATCCAAATTAAACCCTGCGGCTCGTGACGACACATTGATGTCCTAAGACACAAAACAATCGGTTTGTGCGAGAAACCGAACAGTGTTTATATCATTTTTTACCTCTAATACACCACTATGTCCAACTGCTTTGAGCGCGCACAGGCATCCGGTGCGTGAGGTGTGTACGCGCTCTGGCGTAGTTTACGCAAGCGCCGGAAGTGATCTCTAGCCGAAGAGCAATCAACCATAACTTCAGGCGAGCAGGTAGCAATAGCCAAAAATACATTGTATGGGTCAAAATTATCGATTTTTCTTTTTATGCCAAAATTCATTGGATATTAAGTAAAGATCATGTTCCTTGGAAGCTATTTTGTAAATTTCCTACTGTAAATATATTAAAACAATTTTTGATTAGTAATATGCATTGCTAAGAACTTCATTTGGACAACTTTAAAGGCGATTTTCTCAATATTTTGATTTTTTTGCACCCTCAGATTCCAGATTTTCAAATAGTTGTATCTCGGCCAAATATTGTCCTATCCTAACAAACCATACATCAATGGAAAGCTTATTTATTCAGCTTTCAGATGATGTATAAATCTCAATTTCGAAAAATTGACCCTTATGACTGGTTTTGTGGTCCAGGGTCACATATATGCAGTTTATTCTGGGCAGTATTATAGAACAAAACTCTTAGAATCCCTATAAAAATGTTAAAAATATGTAGTTTTTTTTTCTGTAAGTGGCATGAAAACACAACTGTATAGCTAAACCCGTGTACTCCGCAAAGACCTGCTGATACTTGATATAAAAATGCAATGTCTGAGCAGTAAGATATTTAGTGTGAATCATCAGGAATGTTTGTTTCATAACTTCAGACACCCGAGACGTTGAATAGAGCAAAAATATCAAACCTTGTTCTCAATTTTTGTTCTCAAAATTCACCTTCATTTTGTAGTTCATTTTGGGCATTTTTAACACAAATCATATGAAATGAATAATAAGATAGTGAAATTTTAATTTGGAGGACAGAATGCTCAAATATTATTTTAAGGAATTTTTAAACAAGGTGTTTGAATCCAAAACACAAAACCACTTAAACGACAGTAAGGCCCGTTTCCTCCTATATTAAATCTAGAAAGTGCAGGGCTCTGAACACAAATAAACTAGCTTATTAGATATCTACAGGTTGTTCCAAACTTATTCTAGTCTCAGTTATGGTCTAAACGAAGGCAATAGCCTGAGATTTTTCTTGAGCGTTGCGGGACGGCGCGTGCAGAGGGCGCAGCACGTCCCTGTTCCACTAGTGTAATAATCCAAAACGAGTCTTGAATGAATTATTGATAAAGCTGAGTAAAGAGGGTTAGCAGCAGGTGGAGGTATGTACTTTGATCTCACAACTATAATTTCTCTCTCAGAACATCTCTTGGAGGACGGCAATGAAAATTGTCAGTTCAAGTATTTAGAGGGATTCAAATGGGTCTGTGTCCTTTTAAACTCAGCGAAAACTTCCAGAAAAGTTCTGCAGTTTACTATATTAGCATAATTCAATAACACTGTAAGTGAGCTGTGGCATAACGCTAATACAGTGCACTTACAATAACAACACTTTCCCCCTCAAAGCAATGACTCTGAAGAATAGCTCACTCAAAATGAAAAACGTTAGAATTTACTCACCCTCATGTCAGAATGAAAAAGACTTTTGTTCTTTCATGAAACAAAAAACAATAGCAGATCAACCTGCAGAATCAACCTCTTCATATTTGATATTAACCCTGTATATAAAATAATAGTCCAGAAAAATCTAATTTATTAAATGGAAGTTTATTGAACCTTTAGAAATCTATTTTTAAAAAATCTATGAAAAAGTCTGCATGTCAGTATCATATTTGATACATCAGTATTTTATGGCTGATATACTGTAGAATGATATAGAATATCAAATACAGAATACGGATGTCACTCTCAAGAACGGAGCAAAAATACATAACTTGGTGCAATCTTGTTATTTATATAGCCAAAAAGTAAGATGAAATTCTGATAGCTTGTAATGTAAATCAAGGATATCTTTATAAATATATATTAAATGCATATAAATATCAACTGTCACTTTATAACTCTCAATTATATTTCTTAGCAAGATGATCTTTAAATGCTTCGTTTTATTATCAAAGCTCTGTGGGTTTAATTGTGGAGGCAAAACATAATGCAATGCAACATAACTATGATTGAAATGTTTCTCAAAGCCTGTTGTATCATATTTGTAGCAGTTGGGTTTTTTTTTAGCAGTTTTGTTGTGGGTTTGCTGATGATTGCTGATGCAGAAATTTGCATATCAAATATGATACAGTAGTTTTTTTTAAAGGGTTAGAACCTAGAGTTAGACCCTAAATATGAGCAATTGCAATAGTGCTCCTTCCCTTAGCTTGTTCCACTAATAACAGATTATTTGAATAACGTGTACATCTTCACTCGTGATGCATCCGAATTCATTTTATTGTTTAAATGTCAGCTAAATGTCAGAATTTTCGGAAACATAATGTTCTTTATACATGCTTTACAGAATGTACAGGTACAGCATACAAAAACAAATACACAAAAAATGAACGAAACATTAAAAAAAAGCAGCATTTAAATATTGTCAAAGCATTTAAGCAAAACTTTGGTTTGCAGAAGGCAGGAATGTTTGATCCGTGTGGATTTTTCTTTGGTGTAAATCTTTAAGTGAAATCACACTTAAAGATCCCGACAAAATCCTGTATA